AATGAACTGTTTTCCTTTTACGGTATCGGATTTACAAAATATTTTCAAAATGGGGAATTTAAAGATTGGAATTTAGGGGAAATTATAGTGAAACATGGAAATTGTTTCAATGGGGATGGGGGGCTCAAAATTGGTGTTTGAAAGTTTTAAATATTGGAATAGAGGGGAAATTATTATGATACACGGAAAAAGAGTTTAAGGGTGGGGCAGAACAAAATGTTGTTCCAAGGTCCTTTGAGACCTATTTACTCCAGCTTCGGTAAATAGGTCTCAAAGGACCTTGGTGCACTTTGCTTGCACTTTGTTCGAAGCTAGACTTATGGTGTAACTTAGATAGATTAAACTTAAAAGTATGACGAAAGTCCCCCCCCCCCAAGAAATAATAAACAGTGTGCTGAAAACAAAAGAAAAAGGCTCCGCATAGCCAGGTGGTTAGGGAGCTCGACTCGCAATCTGCAGGTCGCAGGATCGAATCCCCGTCCCACCAAACATGCTCTCCCTTTCAGCCGTGGGGGCGTTATAATCTTACGGTCAATCCCACTATTTGTTGGTAAAAGAGTTGGCGGTGGGTGGTGATGACTAGCTGCCTTCCCTCTAGTCTTTCACTGCTAAATTAGGGACGGCTTGCGCAGATATCCCTCGTGAAGCTTTGCGCAAAATTCATAACAAACAAACAAAAGAAAAAAAAACTGAATCAATTACGTAGTTTTTGGTTGCTGAATTTGTTAATAATTTCGGAACACGGTACCGTGTTTAGAAGTTATACAATGGCACACTTGGGGAGATACAATGGTACGTCAGGGTAACCCTTCATTTTTCAAAACTTCCAGGTCTAATAAGAACAGTAGAAACTCAGTAGACCGTATACCTCCGACACGCAGCGTTGATCATATTCAGCTCTCAAAAAAATACGAAAATGTGTCCATATATCCGTCATTATCAACGGACACGGATCACTTTGGGCAGGATAATGAGGAATAATATTCTGCACAAGTCCATCAAGTTTCAATAAAATCCGATCATTTTTACTGAGTTATAAAGCAAAAATAGTGTGAAAAATCGGTCCTCATGTTAACAGATGGGGATTTTTTTTTCGTGGCCTTGCTGTGACATTGACCCTCAAAAAATAACCACTTCTTAGTTGGGTCATACTTCAAATGTACACCAACTTTCGTCCAAATTCATTCAGCAGTTTTTGCGAAATCATGCTGATAAACACACATTTATCTACATGTATTTCTTCTTTGTGTTAAGTGATTCAACGAAACCTTAAGAACAATTAATTGGGCTCTTCCTCCAATACTTTTGTTAAACCATGCCTGAAACTGTATTAATAACTAGCTGGAGTACCCGTCCC